TGTGTCTTGTTTGAGACAGGGCTGAAACACCCTTGTTCTTCTTTGTAATGTTTCAAGTTGCAGCCTTTCTGGCCCTTCACTTTCCTGGCCTGTGACAGCCCTCATGTCATTCTTGCCTGATTCTTTTCAGTGACTAATTGGACTCCAATTATGTCTCACATTTTCTGGGAATGCCAGAATGCTCACTGTTCAGTAGAGGGCTTTTCCCTATAGTCCTCTTTTGGTGTTTGCTTTTCATCATCTCTGTGCTCTATAGTTTTCCCGCTTCTTTCATTCATACTCTCATTTGTTCATTCATTCATTCAACAAATCTCTATTGCTTGTCTCACCCACACTAGGCATGGGACTCAGGCACAGGGAACACTGCAGTGTACAGTGAGTTTTGTCTAATTTATTGGTCATATGACCCATGAATCTTTCTGTTCAAGGAAGTACAAGTAAATCACTTTTAGGAGTTACAGGGTACAACTGAGGTGTAATTTTTTCATTATTAAGATCAGTGAAGAGAGAATATTTTTTAGATTTCCTTTAGGTTGAAAATAAGAATATCCTGTCACCTAAAATCTATTATTTTTACCTAAATTAAATTTATTTAACCTTTTAAGTCACACTTAACCTAACCTTCCAGGGGTGAGTATTGTTTGGAATAAGTTTTTTCTTATGTATTATATATGAAATATATAATACGTAAGAATTATATAGTATATAATATATATAGTATAGTATATATATTATATATAGTGTAGTGTGTGTGTATATATGTACACACTTTAATATTTATATAATTTAAAAATTCTGTGCCCAAAGGACGATCTCAAGTTAGAAATTTTCAGTAAAGAAAATCTTAAGGACAGCACATACTGCTGCTTCAGAAATAATTTACCTAGGCAAGGATACAAGTATCAACCTTGCTAACATGGCTGATATTATAGACCCCACTGAGAATTAATTCTGACTCCAAGTAGCTTCTCAGAAATCTTAGTTCTTTACCTGTAGGTGGATCCTAGGCAAGTTTCTAGTCAGTCCTCTCCACTGCTCTCAGAGGGGCAGGCATCTCCATGCAGCTAAGCAATTGGAACATCAGCCCTAGAGTGGTTCCTGCTGTCCTCTGGGACATGCCAGAGACCAAAACTGCTGTACTCTGAGTCTGGTTCTGTCCACAAAAGACTTTGGCCCTAGTCCTGTCCCTTTCAAATGCAGGGTTCAGGGACAGAGATGGGGCGTAGACTGATGGCTATCCCTTCTGTGGGTGTACTTCAAATGTACTGCAGAAGGATCTCAGTGGGCTTGTGACTCACTTGTTGCCCAATGGCATTTTAGCAGAGGGAATGTCTCCTGTTAAAGCACTGGGCCTGATGAATCCCAGTACTGTGTAAAGCAAGTAGGGTTTCTGCCTCATGGCAAAATCATTTTGGTTTGTTTTCAATTTGCATTTTTTTTTATTGAGGTAACATTGGTTTATGACAGTGTGTATAATTTAGAGATAGAGGCTCACACCTCTTCAGATATATGTTACCACACCACACACACCACCAAAGGACTCTACCATAGTACTTTAGAACTCCTTACCCTTTTATTCTACACCCCCCAAACTCCCACTCTGGTAGTCTCAGTTCTAAAGTCAGATTTATAGGGTTGGTTTGGTTTAGTTTTGACTATTCCTGTTTTGCTTCTTTATGTTCCCTCTAAAAGTGAAATCATCAGGTATTTGTCTTTCACCTTCTGACTTATTTAACTTACTATTCCATTTCCATCCATGTTGTAAAAATATTTCACTTTTCTCATAGCTGAGAAGTATTCTATTGTGTATACATACCACATCTTAATCTACTCATCTGTCTTTGGACACTTAGGTTTTTCCATACCTTGGCTATTTTAAATAATGCTGCAGTAAACAGGAGTGCATATACCCCTTCAAATTAGTGTTTTTGCATTTTCCAGATAGTTACCAAGGAGTGGAATTTCTAAATAATATGATAGGTCTGTTTTTAATATTTTGCTTGGCTAATATCCAAGATCTATAAAGAATTCACACAACTTGACAGTAGGAAAATAACCTAATCAAAACATAGGCAGAAGATCTAAAAAGATACTTCCCCAAAGAAGACATACTAGCACATGAAAAAATGTGCATCATCACTTATCATCAGTTAAATACAAATCAAAACCATAATGAGGTATAACCTCATACCCATGAGAGTGGCCCATATCAAAAATACCAGAGATAACCAGTGCTGGTGAGGATGTGGAGGAAGCGGAACCCATGTATTCTTTGGGTAGGAATGGCAAAGTAGTTTCACCTATCTTGGAGAATATGGTATGAGTCTAAATAACACTGGCTTTGTGTGATGACTGATTTACTCCTCACTGTGTATCCAGATCAGGCAGTGGGTTCTGATCTCAAGGTAGGTCTCTGTTTTGACACGTCCAGGCATGGGACTTGCTCCCTCCTGGAACCTGGTTCCATTCCTGGCTGACTTTCCTTGGCTGAGAGCACTTAGTGTAATAGATCCCTCTTGGTGTCCTCAGTACATTCACTGCTGCTTGTGGTCCACACTGGAACAATGTCCAGTCTCTGTGTTCAGCTTGTTCATGGCTCACAGGTCTCTCAGGCTGGCCAACTGAGTCCCCCAAGATCCCTTCTATTGTTCCACCTGTTGCACTTTCTGGCTATTCTCACTGTGGTGAGAATCAAATGTGTTCTCTTAAAATAGTCTGGAAAAAACACTCTATTCCTCATATATTTTTGGGTTCTTCTATTGCTACAGGATGATGTTCCAACTGCTGCTAGTGGGCTCTGGGTCCCCTGTGCAAGGCCTCTACGTTTAATTTCTTCTACATGCTACATGCACATATCACTTGAGCTCTAGCTGCAGACTGTTTGCTTTTTTGGAATGTGCTAGTTAATTATGTCCTCATCCTCCTCCCCAGTGTTGCCCTCTAACCTGTCTGTTAAATAAATTATTTCTCTTGGATCTTCTGCAGCTTTTCATTCTGAATATTCACCATACTTCACTTTGTTTCACAGTATGTGACATAACTGCTCGTCTTCCTATTTTTTTTTTCTAGTTTCCTTGAGACTAGAGATTATGTTTTCTCTTTTTAGACTCCTGGAAAAATGAATATTGGATTAAGAGACCAAGCTGGGAAGTCAAGCCTTCTCTGTTAGCTGTGTGATGTTGGGCTGTATTTTTACCTCTCTCTTTCTAATCTGTGACCCGTGCATGACAGCATTGAGCTTGTTAATGGGTGTGGTGTAAGGATTGCGTGAGGTAACCCTTCATGAATGTTTGTGGTCATGAGCTGTGCTGGTATGACTCCCCTTGCCGCCATGCTTTTCTCTTTCCAAATTTCTCTCTCTGAGCAATACACGGGGTACTGGACATAGCACAAGGGAAATTTGTTAAATGAAATCCTGAAGCTGAACGAGGCTTTATTGAGCACTCAGTCTCATTTCTCCTTGGAGACGTGAACAGTGAGTGTATGGCTTATAAAACATGCCCTTTCTTTCACCTTTTCAGGGTAGTGCCAGGCACCCAACAAACTAGTGTTTTCTGTTCAAATGGGGACTCTGTGGCCAGGTTGGTGTTAAAAGGAGGATTATTTTACATCAGCTGTGAAGCTGTTCTTACCTAGAAGGACAGATTTTTTTTTTTTTTTCATAGAAGCCAGGATGGAGTGAAAGAATAAGTATGAAGAAGAAGTGTCTTCATGGAGCATGTGAATGGCACTGCCTGTCTGTGGCTGAGTGGAGAAGTAAATGGTTGGGCTTTATGGGAGAGAGTGGCCATTGGGGGTGGATTTCTGATAGTGGAGATGCTCCATGGGGAGAGCATGGTGGTATCTGTACATTTTGGATATAGACAGATATGGATCATTCTGTTCTGTAGCTTCAGGTAGGCCTGATGTGCTCTCTCATGCTTACAGGTCTAGCCTGCTAGGTAATGCTTCCTGCAGAGAGGTGCAGATGCTTAGGCAGTCCTTTCCGACACTCACCATCCATTTGTGGACTAGACAGTCTGGCATTTAATTCACCTGATAGCCATGTTTAACCTGCCTAGTGCACCTTTTTCTAAGGTAAGAAAGGATTGGGGATCCAACAAACTCCAGAGAATTTGGAAATTCTGCCTGGCTGTCTGATTTTCAGGAATCTTCTACATCTTATTTATGGAAGCTGGTGTCTCCCTTTCCAAAGTTTATTCAACTAAAATTTACTGAGCATCTACTGCGTGTCGGGTGTGAGACTAGGTGATGAGATTGTAAAAGAATTTGAAGATTATTTAGTGACAAAGAATTATATTAAAATTAAAATGAAGAAGGAAGTAGCATTGTCCAACTTAGGAGATGGCTATACTTGAATTTGACTTTCTATTTTATATCTTGGTGACTGAGTATGCCTCACTTTCTTTATCTGAAATCTATAGGAATGCCTACTTGACTGGTTGTACAAGAGTGGAAACATCTTGAGCTATGAGATATGCCTGGCAGGGGATCTGATACTTCGTAGTGCCCAGGAAAGGGCCACTGTTGGTAATAAATGCAATGTTAAAGAGAGAGAGAAAGCATCAAAACTGCATCCTCCCCACTCTCTTGCATATGCTTGTGTGCTTTTCCACTGTGCTTTCTTTGCCAGAACATGTATACATCAAAATCCAGTTATAAAGAAGTATGTTGTGGTGCCTCTTTTCCAGGGCATTATTCAGAAGGCACTATTTACACATATGCTGTTATTTCTCTTAATTGAAAAATAAGTACAAGAGTCATACACACTTAATTAGAAACTCCATTCATTCCCTGACCCAACTCCAGAGATTTTGATTCAGGATGAATTCAGGTGAGTACCTTGAGCCTGTCTCACAAACAAAAGACTCCAAGGTTACCTGTTATTCAGACAGATTGAGAGATAGACCCAGCATACCCTGGCCTCTCATGCACTGTCCCTAACTTTTTCCTGTCAAACCTCATTTCCCTTCACATCCTGGAAAGCCAACTCCTCTCACCTGGGCATCTCAGTTCTGGGAGATGTGCCATTTCTTGGAATAGCCTGGTACTTTCTCCTGGAGTAACTTTTCATATCCTGATGTGTTAGAAATCTGGGCTCTTCTTAGAGTTGAGTGTCCACTACTTGACTGTGTTGCCTGTAAATAGAGATCTTATTTTAAATTTCTGTTTTTCCAGCAAGTAGTGAGCGTAACCCTTCTAGGAGAGTTTCTGGCCTCTGGAATACTCTGCCAGGATTCTTTTAGTCTGAGGACACAGATAGTGCCCTACATTGTCTTTCACTCCCATGACTCTACATGTTGGGAGCCCCCTTTGACTTGAGGTGCTGCCTCCCAGTGAGGAGCCCACACACTTTTTATTTTAAAGATTCATTTGTTTATGCATACAAACTGGGGTACAGGCCAGAGATGTGGGGGGTGAGAGATTCACCAGAAGAGACAGAGTGGGGAGCAGAACAGGTGCATTGACTGAAATACACTGAGGGGAGCAGTGGGCGAGACAGGAGAGATCTGCTGTGCCATGTGGGTCACCTCCCTGGCCAGGGATTGAACTTGTGCTGCAGCGGCCACGGATAGCTTCTTAATGCTGTCTCTTAACCCCTTGCGCCACCAGGGAGGCTGGCCCCACACACATTCTTCCTTAAGGGATGTCTGTACCCTAATCCTCCCCAGGAATTGCCGCTAAGCTGGAGCAGGTTCTGGTTTTTTTGTAGAGGGAATTCTTTTTCCAGAGGCAGTAAAGGAAGTTTCATGTCCTTCCCTGATACTTTATATTTAGCCCAAAACTTGTTGCCTAAGACTTCTTATGTTTAGGTGGCAGGGAATCTTCCTGTTTTGTTAACAACTGTATTTCCAGTACCTGTCACGTCAGATGTGCAGTTGGACTTAGTAAATATTTGTTGAATGAAGAAAACATTGTCTACATGATTGGATTTTAAATATATGGCATTAAATTCACAGATACATGAAGTGTTAATGTTGAATGGTATCATAAAGACACCAGTAGATAATTTATCTTTAAAAAATTGCCTATTTGAGAGCACAGTGCTTGTGAGTGACAGATTTTGGACTGTAATCTGGATTTTTCCTTCTTCCAATTTCAGTTTTCTTGAACTCCTATCTTTAGTGTCGATGGAAAATAAGAAGGTTCCAAAATGACAGGTTATTTACATAGTTTCTGGCACACAGACCTCTGCCTGATTTATGATGTAATAGAAGAATTAGGATTGAGGGCCTCCCTGGTGGCGCAGGTGGTTGATGTAGCGCTGTGAGGCATCCATGGCTTTTGCGGCATGAGTTCCAGCCCCCACTGGCTTGGGAGCAACCCACATGGCCCAGCATATCTTTCCTGTGTCGCCCGCTGCTCCCCTCAGCAGGGTGTTTTGGTACATCTGCCTGTTCTGCTTCCCACTCTCTCTGGTGAATCTTCACACAACCCGTGACTCTGGCCTGTACTCTACTTAAAACACACACACACACACACACACACACACACACACAATTAGGAATTGAAATGTGAAAGTTGATAGGAAACAAATTATACAGATCAGAAGATTTGAGGGCCTCCCTGGTGGCGCAGTGGGTTGAGCGCAGCGCTGTGAAGCTGTCTGCAGCCTCTGAAGCACGGGTTCAATTCCTGGCCGGCCAGGGAGAAATCCACACGGCGCAGCAGACCTCTCCTGTCTCTCCCACTGCTTCCTTCAGTAGGCCTGTTCTGCTCCCTGCTCTGTCTCTGGTGAATGTTTTTAGCCTCCCATGCTTCTGGTCTGTACCCCAGTTCTTGTATAAAAATAAATAAATCTTAAAAAAAAAATTTGAGAAAGACACAATTTAACTTTTTGTCCTTATTGAGAGTTAATTTGTTGGTATGTATCTCTCCTTTCCATCTGGTTGACTTCATGTAATGTGTAGCTTATTAAGTTCTTGGTCTTACCTAGCAGACTGTAATTTTGGTAGTGGGAAATCCCTTTCCTGAGCCTTTATGGCTTACAGTGCAGAATAGAAATGGTCTTGAAGGAACAGAAAGAAAGTTAAGTGATATCCAGGTGCTTCTTTGCAACAGTATAGCAGATAAAATCCAGAAATATGGAAAACACACACCTCTATTTTAGATGATGTTCACTGATACCAGGTTTGAATTTCAGTGAGTGGAATCACTGAATAAAATGAGTATCTTTCCTTATTTTACCCGTTTTTGATAGAATTACTCTGCAGTTCTGAAGTACAGAACAAATAAATTAGTCTTACTGAAATCAAAGTCCAGCATGATTAACCATTTTCTCACTTTGTTTTGTTCACTTTGTTTTTGTGTCTGTGTGGTAGAGGTAGCACTGGCTGCTGCCACGATTTCTGCCCTTAATTCTGAGCTCTGCCCTGCACTTTGTGACATGCCTTCCCTCTGAGGGCCACAGACTTCCTGCTTGTCACACACCCTGGTACTAAGAATGAGAAATTTGTTAGCACAGGGACACAGCCCAGCCGCCCTCTCTAAGAGGAGGCCTGAGAGTGATTATAGTTAGCATCTGGGCTACCTCTAGCCATGGCCAGTCTGCAGTGGAAAATGGGGGGCATGCCAGAGGCAGTGACTATCTCCATAGGTTTTGTTCACTGAACCTCTGTTGACTTGGTGGTTGTATTTTGCTTACTTATATCCAAACAACTCTACATACTAAAAATTAGATATGTGTGATTGGAATACATGAAAATAAAAGCTTATTGGCATGCACAGTGGATGTTGAGTTATATTTGCACAATGTTTGAACTTCTTAGAGATAAAAAATAGCTTGTCAAATGAACACAATCTAGGGTTAAAACCATTGCAGGTTGGTCCTTTAATTCTTGTCACAAATGTGCAAGAATGTTGGCAAGGCCAAAGTTACTGTAAAGAAAACTCTTTCTATTCTCATTGAATACTTCTGTATTCCAGATGGGGGTGTGGGGGGGGGGCAGGTAGGGGATGGGGGATGGAGACTTCTTCCCATTCCAAGAAGTTTTGTAACACTAGTTGGGTGCTCTACAATTCAGTCAATTCTGACCTGACTGATTTGATCATCTGCATGGCAGTCCACAAAACTCAGGAACTGCTTTAACTCAGATATAACCAAATGGAAGGATATACATAGGACAAAGTATGGATGCTTCTTGCCCTTTCCAAATGTGCCTTTCACTAAGCACCTATAGGTGTTTACCATCCCTGAAGCTCTTCAAACCTGAACTTTAGGGTTTTTTGTATAAGAATTTCATTACATTAGCATGATTGATTAAATGACCTTCTGTCCTTCTCCCCTCCCAGGAGATTGGGAGGCTAATTAGAGGGTAGGACTGATTGTTACAGCTCTCTAATCACCTGTTGTTGCCTTGGTAACCATAACCAGCCCTCCCCCCTCTGATTTTCTGGGGTCTTTCCAAAAGTCATTTCATTCACATAAACTGTTTGATTGAAAGGGGCTCTCATGAATAACCAAAAAAAAAAAAAAACAAACTTTTTCACTGTTGTATTAGCTCTGGAGCTATTTCAGAAACAACAACCAAAAAAACACCAAATGTTAGACCCCCTTACTTGTACTGTATAGGAAATTACAAGAATTTTTAGAGCTCTATGCCAGGAACTGTAGAGGAAAACCAAAATCTATTTCTTACTCTGTCACAAATACCATCAATTTTTTTTCTCTGAGGCACTGAATCTGTTATTATTTAATAATTTATCACCCTCTGGAGTTACAGCATTGGAAAGAAGTCTGTTCTACTCTGCCTTATAGCCATTGTGCTTAAGAGTGTGCCTTATCAACATAGGAGGGTAAACATTGTGGTTACAGATGCTTATTCTGTTTGTGAACAAAGGACGGTAATGATTTATTTTGAATACCCAGTACAAATAACATTTAACATGTCAAAGTATTGAGTTATTTAGTAAAGCAAATTCAGTAACATTTAATATCCAATTAAAGAAGACGCTAGGTGGTGCTATAGACTAAGCAGGCTGTAGTTAGGAAGTAAGGTGGGTCTGGAGGTTTAATCTACCCAGTTAATTTTCCCTTTCCTCTTTGCCTCCAGTAGTGTGGGTACTGTTCTTGGCTCAGTTTATAGAAGACAGAAATTCACCCAGAATGATTTATGACCTAAGCAAGAATTTGTTTGATTGAGTTTATATATATTTTAGAAATAAAGTAGCCTCAGTTTGTTCATGGCACTGAGACGAGATGCACATGTGAGTTTGAGATCAGATTACTCAAATATTTGGGATAGATGCCCACGTTTGGGCTGGGTTATTTAAGGAAGGAAATTAACTATTAATAGCTTGATATACAACCATGTTGTTTGACCTATATTTGTGAGATAAATATATCTTTATAAATCTGTGTGAAATGAAATTTTATGTATAAAATAATTTCCCCTTCCTCTGCCAGAAGTGCAGTCTCATGGGAAATATTTTAGCATGAAGTTAGCATTGACTAAATACTTAATCTTAGCGTGAACTTCCAGAAACATCTGTTTTGTTAATGCATTGTTTATTTGATTCTCCCACTGGAGACCCAGCAGAAAGGCTTTCCCAAGTGCGTAGTTACTATCACCGTGAATTCATGCAGTCATCTCAAGCATAAAGAAGGCACCAAATCCTCTGCGGGGACTAATTCACAAAATGTGTTTGTAAGAACTGAATGACAGCTTAAGTTATATTTTAGCTTAGTGATATTTTTAAAAACCTGAGTATAGAATATGGAGAAGTGGTTTTTTGTTTTTTTGTTTTTTTTTTTTTTTTTTTTTTTTTTAGAATCAACCTCAAAATAGTTATTTGGAGTACAGTAATAAGCCATTACTGTCCTTTGTTCACAAACAAAATAGTTAATAAGATACAATTATTAGTCCTCATTAGAATTTGACAAAGTTTAAAAGCAGATAACCCAAAGCGATTTTACTACCTAAATAGATAACTACTAATTGACCCTATAGGAAATTTTGAAGTTTATTCTAGACTAGGATATTTAGATTCTTTGAACGGTTTTGATTTTGCTCTAAGGACTAGGGAAAATGAACAGGTTTGAAATATGCTGATTCAGTGGTTGGACTAAATTCATGAACATTAAAACCTGCTAAGTGAATATATGACCTGGCTTTGTTTAACAAATTCACTATTAAGT